GGAGCCCAGAAGATCCTGAGTGAATCCCAGATAATTGGATGTTGACTTATTTATGCGGTTGGAGTTTGGTTTGGTTTTGTTCAGATTGTGACTGTGCCCTGATTCTTCCCTCTTGAAGTGAGAAGGTTTTTATTTTAATTTTGATTTTTATAGGAGTCCACAGCTGAAAACTTTGAATTTTTAAGAGATTTTGAACTTTAAAAGAGATTGAATTTGTGAAGGCTGTGGGACTTTCATAGTTTGAGATCTTGGGGATGAAGGAGAAAGGAAAGGTTGTGGCTTAAAGGTGATGTGTTTGTGTGTCAAGTTGACAAGGGGTCACTTGTACTGGATAGCTTTATGTCAAGTTGAAACAAGCTAAAGTCATCTGAGAGGAGGGACCCTCATTAAGAAAATATCTCTATCTGATCAGGCAGTCGACAAATTTGTAGGGCAGTGGTTCTCAATGTTCCTAATGCTGTGACCCTTTAATACAGTTCCTCACTTTGTGGTGAACCCTGACCATGAAATTATTTTCATTGCTACTTCATGACTGTAATTTTGTTACTGTTATGACTCATAATATAAATATCTTGGTTTCCCAATGGTCTTAGGTAACCACTGTGAAAGGACATTTCAACCCCAAAAGGGTCATCACCTACAAGTTAAGAACCACCGCTCTGGGGCATTTTCTTAATTAGTGATTGATGGGAGATGACCCAGCCCATGGTTTGTGGTGCCGTCAATGGACTGATGGTTCTGGGTTCTATAAGAAATTAGGCTGAGAAAGCCATGTGGAGGGAGTCAGTGAGCAGCACCCTCCATGGGCTCTGCATCAGCTCCTGCCTCCAGGTTCCTGCCCTGCTTGAGTTCCTGTCCTAACTTCCTGTGATGATGAGCAGTGCTGTGGAAGTGGAAGTCAAATAAACCCTTTCCACCCCAGTTTGCTTTTTGATCATGGTGTTTCGTTGTAGCGATAGGAACCCTAGCTGAGACCAATGAGTAGACACATGACTGGCATCATCTGTTGGGCATCACCCATGCAGCACAGACGGATAAATGTTTTATTCCTGGGAGTAGAATAAATATACATTTATCTGTATGAATTGAGACTGTATGGGCACATGTGCATATTAAAACCATATCAGAGAAAGGGTGTAACTCCCTGTCCTGGATGCTTTTAAAAGGTGGACACCTAGTTCAGCAATGACAAAGGCCCCTACCAACCCATCATCCTATCAAGGGGCTGACAGAGAGCTCCCGACTGTCCCAGGACTTCAGCTTAGCTCAGTTCAGCTCATTGTTGGTGCAGCCTATTTGAATTTCTGTCTGCCTGTCTGAACTTGCTGTCTGTCTACCTCCCCATTCATTCCTTTGTCTTGACTCTGTAGCTGGACTCAGCTCTGCAGCTCTGCTCAAACCCACGACCCTCTCAGCCTACTCAAGGGAGTCCTGAGACTCCACAGACCCCTTTGCCTTTCTGTCAGTTTCCTAGCTTTGGCTTTTGCAGCGCCTTTAAAACTCATTTGACTACCTAGCCCTTCATAGGCACTCTACAACTTCATACACAGGTGTATATCAATGTGTTTACTGTGATAGGTAGAGTGTAATTGAGAGTTGATATTAGTAGTTAAGCTTGGAGGAAAAAGAGCCATGTTTGCCTTGGCTGGGACCATCAAGGAAAGTAGGACTATATGGCAAACTGCTGCCACCTTTGGGGCTGTGTGTGTGTGTGTGTGTGTGTGTGTGTGTGTGTGTGTGTGTGTGTGTGTGTATAAATTCTGACACTGTGGAAAGAAATGTTCATCTCTTTCTGATACAGAGCATTCATGGCAGCTCTGGAAGCTTCCTTGGCCCTGGTCCTCACATAGCATTTGCCTCACATATGTCTGTAGCCCTGGTAGTGACTCTTGGGTTGGTTGACCATCTTGGAAGTCAGGTTGTCTTGGCAGAGTTCAGAGTCCCTGGAGGGGAATGACCCCAGACTGTTTCTTTCATCAGTAAGCTCTTTCTAAAGTACAAGGGTCCCTTAGTATTCACAGGGGACTGATTTTAGAATTCCTCTAGATACCAAAGCCTGAGGATATTCAGGTCCCTATGTAAAGTAGGTACAGTGTAAGTAATCTAAGCTGCCCCACCCCTGTTTTCTGTCATCTCTAGATGGCTTACTGTACCAACACAAGGAAAGCAGATGTGAATAGCTGTTATACTGTGCTATTTAGAGGACGAGGACAGGGCTGTCCACAACCGTTACATTGAGTTTTTTGAATACTTTCAATACATGGATCAGAGCCTCTGTGGGTAGGTGAGTTGGTTGTACTTGGGTCCTCTCTGTCTCTCTGTCCCTCCTATCAATTAGATCAAAGGTGGGCACCACAGTATCAATCCAAAGGCAGGCTGGTATGTAAGACTGGCTTACTCACCCACTGCCCATCCTCTGGGAATTTCGCCTGGGAAACATGGATGGAGTCATGTGGTCAGTAAGGGAGCAAGGAGCCAACAGTAGAGTCTGAGGCAGAGTGCTGACCTAAGGAAAGCTTGAAGCAGTAAGAGTTGGGATAGACTCTAGAGGAATAGAAAGCAGAGAGAGGACAAGCTGAGGTGAAGGTGTCATGGTGGGGAGGCTCCAGGAGCACCTACTATTGGATCCATGGGAACCATCTTGAGTACTTGAAGACCTACCTGATCCAGGTTCCCCACCCACATGGCATGCTATTCTCTGGAGCACCTAGACACAAATGCATACACACACATGAACACACATTTGCAAACACATACAGGCAGGGGTTTCTGCCTGTGGCTGTGTCAGTGTGCAGAAAGGCTCAGATAAGGGAATGTTCAGATTCAGAAATAATCTAGTTGAATAATAGACAATATTACATGGCACATAATATAAAATATCTGGATTATGTAATGTAAATACATATAAAGTGACAGACAAATATGAGCATATGCACATATGTGTTGCAGATATGGTCAGATTTGTACTCAGATGGAGACCTGAGTGTAAGGTGTATGTAGTTGAGATTAGGCTTGAGAGTCTTTTAAAGTCCCTGCAGAGAACATGCTTTGGTAGAGCTACAACTCTGGACAGTAGTGTGCAGCTATACATGCAAGTGGGACCAATCCCTTCCCAGAGAATGCTCGCTAAATAAGTGCAAATGAGGGAACACAGACTCTGACTCCAAGTCCCTGCCAGACACCCAAAGTGAAAACATCATGATCGTAATTTGCAAGACTTTCCATCCCCAATGGCAATTGATTAATTCCTCTGGGCAAACCAACTCCAGTGCCATTCCCTGGATGACAGCTGTCTGCTGGGGCTATTTAATTGGAGCCCTTACGATTTCCCAAAGAGTTGAGTGGTTTTAACAATTGGTACACATGTAGCAACTGTATTAAAATAGGAAAACAGAAATCACAGAAAGGGTACTGAGAATAGCCCAGGACACCAAGGCAGACATAATTCAAATTAGAAGCAACCAAATGTTTCAATTTCCTGGAGGTAACGGGAAGGGGAAATCCTGGGTAAAAACAAAGGCTGTTTGATCTTTCTAAATTGAAAGAGAGGGGTTTTCAAGTCTCCATTGCCCATGGTTTCATCATCATTGTCCTGTCAGTTTTGTTTCTTACACTTGATTCTGATTGTTTTCTGCTCCGGAGTTCCTGTGCCTATTCAGGAACTCTGTCAACAACAGCACTCACAGGACACTTGCACCGTGTCCACCTACTTGGCATTACAGCATGGCTTGCGAGCTTCTTCATATAAGGTGGAAGAAAATGTCTCAGTTCATTCAGGCAGCTACAGCAAAAATCCCTTAGTCTGGAAGTTCATATGCAATGGTAGTGTATTGCTAACAGCACTTGTGATGCAATGTCTGTTGAGACTCATTGTTTGCACATCTCTTGTATATAGATCTGAGCACCCATGTGAACACACACATGAACATTCATGCACACATGAATATACATGGGAATATGTATTCGTGTATAGACACACATGTGAGTATGTGCATATACATACATGAACACGAGGGACTATGCATACACGTACAAACAAGCATGTGAATCTGCATACATGAACATACATATATACATACTTTTTTAAAAGGGAGAGATTAAGGAAATTTTCCCAGTGTATCCTGTGAATGGAAAAGAAGAGATGAGCTTAAGCTTGGCAGTGGTGGCGCACGCCTTTAATTGTAGCACTTGGGAGGCAGAGGCAGGCGGATCTCTGTGAGTTCAAGACTTGTCTGGTCTACAAGAGCTAGTTCCAGGACAGGCTCCAAAACTACATAGGGAAACCCTGTCTCAAAAATTCCAAGAGAGAGAGAGACACACACACACACACACAAACACACACACACACACACACACACACACACACACACACACACACAGAGAGAGAGAGAGAGGGGGGGGGAAAGAAAAAAGAAAAAGAGATGAGTTTGAAGCCACTGGGTACTGTACTGGTCTGTACTGTACTGGCCACAGGCATGGTTCCCCACCCATAGTCCCCTGTCCCCATGGTTCCCCAGTTCTCATGAGCAGTACACTTATCTGTATATATGTTTCTCTTATTGGTTGATGAATGAAACACCGATTGGCCAGTAGCTAGGCAGGAAGTATAGGTAGGGCTACCAGACGAGGAGAATGCTGAGGAGAGGCCCAGGGAGAGGCACAAGGGACACCAAGTAGCTGCCGAAGGAGTAACTTGCCGGGTTATGTATGGGTAAGCCACAGCCTCGTGGCAATACTTAGATTAATAGTTATGAGTTAATAATTAAGAGAAGAGCTAGCCAGTAAGAAGCCTGAGCCATTGGCCAAACAGTTTAATAATTAATATAAGTCTCTGTGTGCTTATTTGGGGCTAATAGGCTGTGGGACCAGGGCGGAACAGAAACTATGTCTACACTTATCCTCTCAACCACTTTATTTTCTCAAGCCTGCCTGGAGCAGCAAGTGTCAGAGCCTGATCATTGCCACCTCTCTTCTGATCCCCAGGTCCCAGCACCTGCCCTTCACAAATGACCCTTGTGGGTAGAGCAGGGATCTTCTGGGTGTGGCTCTCCCAGAAGTGCATCAAGCCAGAATTCCAGATCACGTACCAGCTGTTCCAGCTCTCTCACTTCATTCTCTAGCTTCTCCAGAAAATCATGCAAGTTTATCTTCAGCCACTTCCTGAGGGTCCTTATTGGCTCTTTAGCGGGTTCATAAGTCTGATACTCAAAGCCCTGAAAGGCAGATGCCAAAGCTGTATCTTCAGACTTTTCAGGAGGGTTTCTTTTTTTATTTTATTTTATATATTTGAATTACAAACAAGATTGAATTACATGACGATCCCAGTTCCCCTCTGCCTCCCTTCCTCCTCTACCACCCCCCAATTAAAATCCTACCTATCATATGCCCTTTCTTCTAATCTACACCTGACTCAAAATTTCTGCTCCCTCATGACCTCTGAATCATTCCTTATCTTCCCTTCTCACTCTCATAGCTTCCTCCCTCCTCTTCCCATGCTCTCAATTTGCTCAGGGGATGGTGACTCTTTCCCCTTCTCCAGGGGACAAAGTTTGTCTCTTTTAGGGTCTTCCTTGTTTAATAGTTTCTCTGGCAGTGTGGATTGTAGGATGATAATCCCTTACTTTATGTCTAAAATCCACATGAGTGAGTACATATCATGTTTGTCTTTTTGTGATTGGGTTACCTCGCTCAGAATGTTTTTTTTGAGGTCCATCCATTTTCCTGCAAATTTCAAGATTCCATTGTTTTTTTTTCCTCTGAGTAGTACTCCATTGTGTAAATGTACCACATTTTCTCTATCCATTCTTCAGTTGAGGGGCATCTAGGCTGCTTCCAGTTTCTGGCTATTAGGAATGGCGGGATCTTGTGGTAGACTGATTCCCATTTTCTTGAGGAGTCGCCATACTGATTTCCAAAGTGGCTGTACAGGTTGTCACTCCCACCAGCAGTGGAGAAGTGTTCCCCTTTTTCCACATCCTCTCCAGCATAAACTGTCATTGGTGTTTTTAATTTCAGCCATTCTGATCTCATTTCCAAAGTGGCTGTATGAGTTTGCACTCCTACCAGCAGTGGAGGAGTATTTCCCTTTTCCACATCCTCCAGCATAAACTGTCTTTCGTGGTTTTGATTTTAGCTATTCTGACAGGTGTAAGATGGTATCTCAGAGTTGTTTTGGTTTGCATTTCTCTGATGGCTAAGAATATTGAACACTTTCTTATGTATCTTTCAGCCATTTTAGATTCCTCTATTGAGAATTGTCTATTTAGTT